CTCTTATGATTATATAAATATATATATCACCATATATGAATATAATTTTATGTTAGCAACAAACTTATGCCATATATTTAGCAAGTCTCACTTGCTATATAAAAGCCTTATAATAAATCAAGGTCATTTTATACATATGTTTATAAAGTTTTTATTGCTTGTATATAGTTTATATTTTACAAGACCTAAGGCTTCCATTTTCTTCTAGTCTTAATTTCAGCTACTGTTTTGTAATATTTAGGATTATATTAGGATTATTAGATGTTAAGGAAGGGTTTTTTTTACTTTATGAATTGGATGGCAGTGCTGGAGAGATGATTTAGTGGTCAAGAATATTGAATGTTCTTCCAGAGAACCAGAGTTTAATTCTGAGTACCCCTATTATGGCTCACAACTCCAGTTCCAGGGATTTGATGTATTTTTCTGACCTCCTTAGGCACTGTATGCATATGGTGCACAGACATACATGCAGGCAAAGTAAAAATTAACAACTAAATAAGTAAAAAAAAAAGAATTGGATGGCATACAGATACAATTATTTATTTATATTTTTCTTTGATGATGTCACCGTGAACAGTAAGATGTGTGAATTGTGTTTAAACATTGATTTTTCAGAAAGCATGATAGACCCACTGCTGTGGAGCAGGTATAGCTGTAACTGGCTGGGGAATAATAGAGTAGTTAGGAGTTAACAATAGAATGGTAGGAGGTAATAGAGTAGTACGGGGAGGGGGTAGGGGAGCGAGCGGATTGTGGAGACCTGTGTGCAGGACCCTAAGACAGTGTAGTGACACTTAAGAAGAGCAGGTGGGGCCCGCGTCTGATGACCTGAGTTCAGTCGTCAGGACCTACACAGTAAAAGGTCTTCTCAGCACACTCGTGATGTGTCACCTGTTTTCGTGTACATATATGCAAATAGATAAATATGAAAAGAATAGAGATGGGGAAAATTAAAGTTTCCACTACCCAATGTAAAGTTATTATCAGTTATTTTTGTTTAAATAAATGACTGTCTTCTGAAGTAGCTGCTTTTATTTTCCAAGTATGACTTTGTCCCAAATTGACAAAATATATGGTTGTACAAGTTCTTGGGTATTGTGTTTTATTGATGAGAACAAATACTATCGTTGGTAGAGCCAGTTGCTGTTCAGTTTGAACAGTTTCTTTCCTCCTTTTTGTGGTTGTTTTGACACAAGGCCTCACTCTAGTTCATGCTGGACAAAAGGGAGCTCTAGATACTCCCGCCTCAGCCCAAGAGTCAGTGAGTAAGGGTGTGTCTCTTTCTCTGTGTTGTCTGTATTTTTGAGACATTGTCTCACTGGGTAGCCCTGGCTGGCCTGGAACTCATCATGTAGGCCAGCCTGGCCTTGAACCTACAGAGATGTGCCTGCCTGCCTGCCTCTGGAATTATGATGTATATCACCATGCTCAGCTTTTGTTTTTTTTTTTAAAGTTCTTTTGATCATGAATGCAGGTTGGGTTGTTGTTATACAGTGTTTCTCTGTGTAGTAGCCCTGGCTGTCCTGGAACTTGCTCACTTTGTAGACCAGGCTGGCTTCAGACTTGTACTCATAGAGCTTACCTGTCTCGCCTAGGGAGTGCTGGAATTAAAGGCCTGCTCTACCATGCTCGGCTATGCAGTCTTTTTCTTTCCTTCCCTC